GATGAATGTGGTCTGGAAGTCGGCAATGGTTTTGGCGTCGAAGTTGAGTGGCAGTGATGAGAAGAATGATAAAGAAGAAGGGGCGAGTTGCAGGGGAGGGAGAGGAGAGAGGGAGGGAAAAATATTTAAAAAAATGAATGTAGGACCCACTTTAAATATTTTATAATAAAAATATTTAAAAAATCACATGTGGGCCCTACTAACACGGAAAATTAACGGATAGATGAAATGAAACTGCACGGTGATGAATCAAAAAATTTTAAAATTGAGAATATTTCTCATAGTTAAATTAAAGATTATTTATAATTTTTTATATATATTTTAAGAATATATTTTTAACCCTTAACCCTAAAAAATATAACGATAATTTTTAATTTATTATAAATTTAAAAATTTAAAATTTATTTTATACATTTTAAAAATTTAGAGTTTAAGGTACCTTTCGAGTAACAGTTTAGAATTTATTATATTCATTAACCCTTGTCAGATGATTTTATGTTTTTTCACATTGAATCTTACTTTTTTATATGTATATTTTTAATCATTTAACTTTATATAAGGTTTTAATTTGATCATTTAATTTTATAAAGTATCTTTTTAATCTTTTAAGCTCAATATTGTTAGTTTTAAATGATTATTTTTTGTTTTAATCATTATTATTTTGAAAAAAAATAAACTTAATATGTCAATATTTGAAGATATTTTATCAATATTTAAAAATTTAATATAAAAATTTATTGAGATAAAACTAACAATATCAAAATTACAAGACTAAAATTTTTTTTATAAAATTAAGAGATTAAAATAAAATATTATATAAAATTAAATAATTAAATATATCATAATATTTTTCAGATCTTACTATTTTTTAATAAAAAAATCAAGGGAAATTGTGTGGGCCCCGGGCCCCACTTTTCATGTATATATATCACATGACTTTTCCTTTTAAAATCAAGGGAGACTGTGTGTGTGTTAACTGCTAAGAGAGAGACTCCTAAGAAATGCTAACTTAGTTTGTTGCTCAATTCAAACATAAACATATTTTTATTTTTTAAAATACATTTAATATTTAGTGTTATTTATAATTGCACTTATATTGACCATTTTCTTCAAAATTTTGATATAAATTACTCAATCAAATTAACTATAATACTATAATATCTTAACGTAAATCACAGTATGGGTGTATCGAGGAAAATACTAATCTTTCGTGATGTTTACTGTTTATTTCCAATTTGTTAACAACTTTTACCTCATGCAAGTGCGTGCGACCTTTTTTATTTTTAATTAATAATGTGTTTTTAAAATCAAAGCAAAGTCAATAATAAATAGATATTGCACGGAGTAAAGAAAACAATAAACATGTAACAAATGAAAATTTTCAATTTAGATTTTTCTTTTTGGTATGCATGTGATTGCACAATGCAATAGGATATATTATAGGGAGAATTTTAGTTAACAATAACGGAAGAGACTTAATTTCAGGTGAGTCCAAAATATTGTAAATTACATCAGGCAATGAATAACATTAGTTGTTTGTTTGCTAATTTTATTTATTAATTTATTAGCATCAATTGTAAATTACAAGATCTATTAATAATTTATAATTGATATTAGTAAATTACAAAACTTGTCAATAATTTACAACTGATATTAGTAAATTAACAAGTAAAGTTAATAATTTAACAACTAATGTTAAGTCTTCACTAGTACAAAAGATGAAATTCAAGGAGTACTTTCTACATCGATTGAAATGCAAACGATGTAGAAAGTTAAGGCGGTGGCATTTTTACATTTTTGTAATTTTGGCAATGCGTATTATAGCTTATATAATTATTGATATATCAACTCATGTAATTTACAACTTATATTCATAAATTAATAAGTGCAATAAGAAAATTAACAACTAGTAATTTTATATAATAAGTAAAGGACATTTTAATCTTTTCATAGTTGATTTTTATTTCTTAGACTGAACTAAAATTTCAAAAAAAATTTAGACCCACCTGAAATTAAATGTCTATAATGATTCTTAACTAAAATTCTCCCTATATTCTATATATGTGCATGCACGTTAATTATTTATTTTTACATTTTAATAATTAGAGTAACTATAATGTGTCGTACATGTAATCTTAGGAACACATTTATTATGAACAAGCAATACATTGAGGAAAACAAGAATAGTGACATGGTTTCATGACTCTCAAACTCATGACATGATATTTTTTTTTATTTAGATAAATAGAACATTAATGATGAAATCATGAGTTAATAGGGGAGAGTTTCGTAAATAGGAAAAATTGCGAAGAGATTTTTCTACAGCAGAGGAGTAGATATCACATAGCTGGCATGGAGTCTCTAATAGCACTTTCTTATTCTTTTTATAATGCTGAATCTCTTAATTGCTTTTCTCATTTTTTTTATCATTAGATTCTGCATAAAATAGAAACATTTTGATTTCAAAGTGAAATAATTTGTATTTTTGCACAATTTTTTTTAAAAAATAAAGTTACGAAATTGCTAGTGTATTTTTATTTTAAAAAACATTAAAAAAATTGAAAAAATTTATTATTTGTAAATGTAAAATATCAAAATATCTAGTTGGGCAAAAAAGTCAAAATTATCTTTTATTTTACATTAAATTTTATAGGAAAGATAATAATAAAATCTCATCACAATATATAAATGATAATCAAGTCTTTTAAAATGTCATAATTTTTTTGAAATTCCTAGATACCTTTTTACCATTAATTATTTTAGTTTAAATAACAAAATTACCCCTTGTTTAAAATAAAAAAGATTAACTAGTTCATGTGAGAAGTTATGCTATCTTGTAAAATTCTTGCTATTCATAGAATGAAAGTTGTGATTGCTTAAATAAAAGTTATAACTTATTATTTTCAGGACTTGAACTTGAATAATAAAAAAAATTATGTGAGAAGTAGTGATTTTTTGTTTAATTTTTGCAATTCACAGAATTAAAGTTGTAATTATTTAAATAAAAATTATAATTGAGATTGATTATTTTTAGAATTTGTATATCAATCATAAAAGAAATTTTACATGAAAAGTTGTAATTTTTTTATTCAATTTTTTGCTATTCACATAACAAAGTTGTAATTTCTTAAATAAAAGTTGTGATTGAGAAAATAGAACCAAACCCATTATTTTTATTTTAAACAAGAGATAATTTAGTTATTTAACTTAAAATTATCAATGTCAAAATGGTAACCAAGGATTTTAGAGAAATTATTGCTTTTCGAGATATCTAATTGTCATTTATATATTTCAATAAAATTTTATTATCATTTTTTAATCTTATATTATAATGGGAAAAAAAAGAGAGGAAAAAATCACTAGAAGATTAATTAGGACATAATAGGGGTCATTACATTAGTAGCCTCTCTCATGCATGATCACACGTCTTTACGTTAGAAGGGACACAATTTGCAATGTAATGAGCTATGGGTACTCAAGCGTAATTTACCCACATTTCTGAGTATAACACTCGGTTCGCTGCTACAAGAACCGAATTGCAACCCTAAACCTAAACCCTACAAGAACATGGTTCCAAACAATAGCGACAACATGCCCTCAGTGCTTTCTCAGAGTTGTCAGCTTCTTCTACCTCTCTCACTGCTTTGTTCCTTTCTCAATAAATCATCAGTTGTCAGATTTCAGGAGAGCTTGCTTAAAACCTCCGATTCTCTTTCAGATCAGAAGAATCTGAAACTGAATGCATGAAATGCCTGAATTTAATTTGATACTTTACTGGCGAATTAAGTTCGCTTATTTATTCTTCGTTCACATTTATAAATACGCGCGCACTCTCACACACAATACAGAAATGTTTGATATTGATACTGTTCTTACTTAACCCATAGTATCGAAATCCAGATCCATCCCATCTGTTGAACGCTTGAACTGATATATTGTCTAGTTAAATGAAATGCTTTATTTATTTATGACTGGGCTAAGTCTGGTTTACAACGATTTTAATCATTAACTCTCTGACGGCCACCTTGACTGGTTTAATGTATTCATCAGTAGCTTGCTTTAACCATAAGTGCATATGTATATATAATCCTCTTGCAGGTTTAAAAAATGGAAGGATCAAGAGGTCGAGTCGGTGGATGCAGTTTGAGGGACAAGAATTATTTGGAGAATTATATGTTGGGGAAAAAGATTGGGCAAGGATCGTTCAGCAAGGTGAAGATGGCAGAGCATGTATTGTCAGGCCATAAAGTCGCCATTAAGGTTCTGAAACGAAGCAAGATTAAGAGTACGAAAATGGTGAAGAAAAAGGTTATTTGTCTCTAATCTTCAAAATGTATAAGCTTCTTCATCTAATTAATTACTGTGTCATCATCAGAGAAATTAATAATTGATGACTTTTGTATTGTGTTGCAGTGGAAAGAGAGATCAGGATAGCGAGAAAGTTGGAGCATCCTCACATAGGTTGAGTGTACGAGGTGATAGAAACACCAAAAAAGATAAATATGGTGATGGAGTATCTCAAATCTGGAGAGCTCTTCCATTACATCTCTCTCAAGGATGCCTCAACGAAGACGAAGCCCGTCACCATTTCCAGCACGGTTCAATTCACTTCTATTTAATATCTCTCCCCGTTGTGTGTGTGTGTATATATATATATACTCACACACAAATATATAAATGCTCTCATCAATGTTACAGAAACTAGCTAATGTTAATGGCTCCAATCAAAGTAGTTCTTCAGTCTTCATCAAAACATGTCATCAGTTTCAAGTTGCTCAAGTGATAGCGCCACCTCTTTTTTTACGAAGAGATATCGGGTTTGAATTTGATGTTGACATGTATACGTGCACCTTCCTTTTTTTTTTATGAGAAATAATCATGTCAGGGGCAAAATTTTAAATAAATAATTAATTAATTAATAGCTTAAGCATTATGAATTGGCCTTTGTTACTCGGATTCAAGTTCTCGATTTTTGATATATTCTCTCCATTCTCATGAAATTTGCTTCTTATTATTTGTTCTATCTCATGTGTGTGTATATATATATATATATACATGAGATAGAACAAATACTAATACTCTTCGGAAGGAGATATCAGGTAGGGCAAGAGATTTGGTAGCAAGAATGCTGGAAGTTGATCCCATTAAGAGGATCACCATTTCTGATATCCGCCACCAGCCTTGGTTTCTGCCTCATCTTCCAAGCTACTTGGCGGTGGCGCCGCCGGATACGGCAGAACTAGCCAACAAGGTTCACCCTCCTCCTCCATCATTGTTGTTTTAAATTCTCCCACCCCATAGAAAATCATATCCATAACTATTCTTCAAGAAATTAAACTTTTTCTTTTTCTTTTTTCTTTTTGGAAAAAGATTGATGATGAAATTCTTGAGCAAGTAGTTAGCTTGGGATTTGACAAGAATCAGGTAGTCGATTCTCTCAACAAGCTTAAACAAATGAGGTTCTTCGCTTTCTTCATTATTTCCCTTTGTTCAATGTTTAGATTTGCATTATATTATTTCAATTATATCTCTTAAGTAATCAAGAAGAAAGATCGGAATCAAAATAAACTGGAGCTCACATAAGATCCAAACAAATAAGTGGGTCCCACTTCTATTTTGAATAAAGTTTATCTCCACGTACATGAAAAGGTAAAGATAAAAGGTGTGGTGGGTCTTATTTGTTAAGTGGAGCCTACCGAATTTTTAATTTTATTTCTGTCCATCTAACCAAAAGATGGAGATATATATATATATAATGTTAGAATATTGATCTCTTCTCCAACCTTGCAAATTAGAAAAGGAATTGAAATTGCTGTTTGAATAATCATATATTGTTTTGTCATCAGGCAACTACTGTAGTATATCATTTGATGGTGGATAATCAACTCCAAACTTGTGGTGGCTATCTGAGGTATGAGTTTGAAGATATGCTTGAGGTGACCTTGCCACCATAAAGTAACCTTTAGTCTTCTTTTTCCATATTGCAAAATCTGAACATCTCAATTAATTATACTGTTTTCATTGTTCTGTGCAATGAAATTCATACGCAACGTTATATTTTTGCAATGCAATTTGCAATGTGAAATGTTAATTTCCTTTTCTTTTTTTAAATATGAAGTGAGAGGTTTTGGTGTGAAGGGGAGATATATGAATTAAATACAAACCCGCTGCCGCAGACTCATAATAAGATCTAAAAAAAATGGTTAAATATAATATATGTGTTTGGGTCTAAAATGAAGTGCCAACGAAAGGGTAATAGGGGGAAGAAGAGTGAAACGACAAGCCCAAATAAAAAAAAAGGTTCAGTCCATTATCAAAAGGAAGTGTGCCACGCACGTACTTAGCTAACATGACCTTGAAGACTTAAAATGATTGAGTAGAGAAGACTGTCGAGTGGACACAAGAGCATTAGTTGAGGTGTCATGAATCTCACAAAACCATGCTAAGTGATCACGAATGCTTTACACATGGGCTCTAGATCTTTCAAGCATAATGGTCTCACGCAAGTGCTTATAAAAAGAATTCAAACGAACCATTGAGGGGATCATCAGTATCAATGTCATTATCAGTATTCATCATGACCTTTTTTTTTTAAATTTCCAAGTTATTTACCTTGTATTCACAATTTAGGTAGAATTATTTTTATTTTTAAGTTGTAAACAATGCAACTTTATATTTTACTTTCCTATTAATTCAAAACATCTTTTATTCTAATTCTTTTGTATTTTCACATTCGGATGAATTGAGATGAGGAACTTGAAAATCTTATTATTATCTTTGAGACTCATTCTCTGACATACTTAATATTTATTGTTTTGCAGAAAACAATATGTTTGGGTGGATTACACATGTAATTTCGTTCTCAAAAGCACGTTAATTTAAAAACCTGACTTTTAATTAATTTCCTAAACCATTGTTTGATTATACCAACAAAAATTAATAGGATGCCAATTATTTTTCAAACTTGGCTGACAGCTGTTCTTGAGTTTCAAAAAACTACATTGGGGCATTAGTTACATGGTAGTTAATTTGTGATTGTTCCCAAATTATTAATTTTTGGATAAATACTAAGGAACGGTGCTCTGGTTGAGTCATGGAGTGATTTCAACGTAACATGGTAAGCCATAAAATTATAAACTTTATAATTTTTTATTACACGACAATTTTATGCAGCTTGATTTAATTATTGATTAATATTATTTTAAATTCACGAAACTTTAGACAGCCAATTTTAAAGAATTTTGATTCATTATTTTTTATATATGGATACGCAAATATGTATTCAAATATTTTTTATTTTATTTTTCATGATATTCCTATAACCGGCATTCATCAGATTAATTTCTCAAGAAATTTAAGTGTCATCGTTTAAGAGGTTATATATATGCATACACATATATCCACACAAGTATTTATATATTTTTATTTGACACATCAGATTTTAGGATTTTACATATCAAATATTATATATCATCAGATGCATGCCATTTTAATTAATTACATGTTTAAAAGTATTTTTTATTTATATCATCCCATCATCTTTTCGCAACTTGCCCAACTAATTTCTACTAAAAATATTCAAATATAAATCATGCCAATCATAGCTTCAGTTTAGCATATGTATTTTTCACAAAGTATAAATCTAAATATACACAGAGATATATATATTAGTTAAAATGACTGAATATAATCAATATACTACCTCGATCTCCTATCTTCTTCTTTTCTTTGCAACAATAAAGGAAAGAGATTATTTACACATAAAGAATGTATCAGTAAGTATGTAAGTTTTTCCTAATTTACATTCTGTTAAGTTAAAGATAATATATACAAAAGTTACTCTTTAATGGCATGAAATTATATTTAAAAATTGGCATTACCAAATTAAATACGAGTAAAACCTTAATTATCACATTTTACATTCATGAAACTTCTTTTGTGTGTGAGTGTGTGTGCTGTGTGTGTGTACATATAGCTACTGTGAGTGATATGGTATAATAACATTGTATATTTCTTTTTCCATAATAAAAAACCAATAAAATAAAGTATTCCTTAGTGCAATAGACTACTAGTATAGTATGTTGTTAAAACTTAAATATATAGTTATTTATTAATCGTTTATGTATTAAGTTCATTTTCATTAATTTCAGAAGTAAAATATAATGAAAAGAAAAGCTTATCTATACTTTAAAAATAATAATAACTAGTATTGAATCTTTCTAAAGAAATTAAACAAAATACTCATTTTCAATCTCTCATTTGAGGAAAATCTTGAACAAAAATTTTGTCCAAACAAATTAAAGAAAAGAAGTAAACTACTCCCTCTGATCCCTAATATAAAGTACTTTCAAATACTTCAATCAAGGAGATATAATTAAGTTATTAACTTTGTTTAAAAATAAAATAAAATTTTAATCATATTCCTATTTAAATGAATTTTTTAAAATTTAAATTACATTTTTTATAGTTAATAAATTTAAATAATATTAAAATTAAAAAATCAATAACTATACCATAATGTGCTTTATATTAAGAATAAAAAATATTTTTTAGAAAGTCCTGCTCAGTGAAACAAGAGGAAGTTTTTTAAAATATATATATATATATATATATATATATATATTATGTAGTGAAAGGGCAAAAAACCATGGGGTGGGGCCCAACGTAACCAATTCGTGTGAATTCTGTCTCTTTTTAAATCATGCTGTCCCACAATATATGTTTCTATGTGTCTTTATCGCGTGATTTTTTCTTTGACAGGTTTCATATTTTAGATTTTACTTATTTTGGTCTACAATCTCATTCATGTAGGGCCCACTTTTCATGCATTTTTCATCTCTCCCACACGATTTTACCTTGTAAACAAAGGGAGAAAGCGTTGAGTAAGGGTGTTTAACTTGTATTTTCAATCTTATTAGAACAGGTTTTGTTTAAACTCAAAAACAATTGGTATAGGATTTTGTGGGATAAAATGGGACACAAGATTACTTTTAAAACATTCCATCTCATCTCAAATATTATATGTATTATTATTTTTATTTTAAAAATATATATTAAATGTATTAATTGTATTAATATAATTTATATTTATATTAATTATAAGTTCAATACAGGTAATTTTTAGGTAAAACTAGAAGTTTTTTATATTGATAATTTTAATAACAGAGTAAGATGTATAGGATAATATCATTTTTTTAATATATTAATTATATTAATATAATTTATTTTTATATCTATCTATTTAATAAATTTTTTTATATTATATTTTTTGCTTTATTTTGAGACTAGGTTAACATATATCAACTAAAGAAGAAAAGCAATAATTTAATGTTGTGTTTAACTTCTCTATTGTCATTACTCTTATAACCTAGAGATTACTTGTAATTGCTATCATAATATGTTATGTCTTATATATACCTAATTTTAAGTTGTTCACTTGTAACTATGATTGATGTAATTCAATAATTGACTTCAAATTATTATAATTTATATACTTATGTTGTTTTAGTTTTAAACTTAATAAGTTATATAATTTAAAATTTTAATAAACATTATTAGCCTAGCCTTTCTTACACATTATCTACTTTATTGTGATTGTGGGACATATTGATCTCGTCTTGATCCAATCATGATTTTTAACAGAACAAGATAAGACCAAAATAAAAATTCAATTTCAATTATTTTTCAAGACAAGACACAAGAGAGGAGTGTTCCACTCTCATTCTATCTAACGCACTTAGGTGAGAGGGATAAAGAGAGAGTTACAAGAAATGTTTTTTCTCACTTTAAAAATATTTTTCATTTTCAGAACACATTTAAGATTTTGTTTGGTTCATTTTGAATTGCACTTGATTGACTATTTTCTTCAAAAAAGTTTTTCTAAATTACTCGATCAAATTAAATTTAATGCTAAATGTCTTAACATATAAATCATATTATGTGTATATCGATGGAAAATTAGTTGATTTAAGATGGACAAAAAGTAAATAAATAATTTGAACATGAAATTTGGCTATATACACATCTTGTAATTAATATATCAATATATATATGTATAGGAACATATAAATATAGATCGCTAGATGCCGTAGTGAAAACTTACGTTTTTTTTTTCCAAATCAAAGTAAAGTCAACGATAAATAAATATTACACGGCTTGCGGATGATAATGAATATATAATAAATGAATAATTTCAATTTAGAATTTCTGTCATATAAATATGATTGTATGACAAGATAAATTCTAAAATAGCATAATAAGATATAATTACTTCTATAAAAATTTAAATGCATAAGTCTTTTTTTTTTTTTTGCCAACTAAATACACAAGTCTCATGACGCAAAAACTAATCATGGCATATATTACTTAATGTCATCACTCATGACTCCTTTTAATGCATGATATTAATTATAACATGGTACATATTTTTTTGATAATAACAATTTTAATTAATATTGGTGAATTAACCATTATAAGTTAATATAGGGGTAGATCTCACGCATGATCACACGCTCTCACGTCAATAACAGAAGGGACACAGTTTACAAAATGTGATGAGTTATGGGTACTTGAGTGTAATTTTCGGGCACTTCTGAGTATAACGCTTTGTTCACTGCTATAAGAACATGGCTCAGTAAACATGAGCAACATGCACTGTACTCTGGTTTTGTTCTTCAGTTTCATCAAATTCGCTTCCCAATGCTAACGTTGTAAATGCCAGTTTGTCCAAGTTAGTAAAACCCACAATCCCAGTGACGACGACGACGAACTGCCGTGCCGTGCAGCAGCATTCCACCGTATCTCCGTTGGCAGCTCCGACAACCATCTTCATCTACCTCGCTACCGCTTCGCTCAAGGTTGGCACAGATTAAGATTTCAATGTCATGATGCAGTTTCTTTTAATCAGTCATCTCGAAAGAACCCTGAATCATCAGTTGTCATCAGCTTTCTGGAGAGCTTGCTTTTCTATACATGAGACTTGAGCCTCCATTTTTCTTTCAGAGGATAATTTGAAGGCATTATGAAACGCTGTGT